CTGACCGCAAATAATTCAAACTTACATCCACGCTTCTCGATTACTGACGATAATGATTTTGGACTCGATATGGTTGGAGATGGACTTCTACTTAACCGATGGTACCATTTGGCGTATACACTTTCAGAACTCCAAAGGCGAATGAATATATATATAGATGGTAAATGGTTTGGACAAATAGCCATCTCTCAAATTCAGTTACAACATGTCTTGTTCAATGATGCACCATTATATATTGGGGACGATCTCGAATCTGATGGATTTACTGGAAAAATTAGGTATGGTATGTTTTCTAATCAAATCAACGAATTTATTGCATATTAAAATGTGAATTATCTATAAATTAGCAATTTTCGTTATTATAATTTTCGTCTCACTAGACAACAAGTAAGGATGGAATTTTTGGTAAGGTTAACCTTGGATTTTATTTATATTTTAAGATTTAATATCGTTTACAATAGTTTTTTTTTTTTTTTGATTTAGGGTAAAGATTTAACGAGCATAAATGATGATTGTCCAACAGATTTTGATTATCCAACGGATTTTGAATGTGTGTGTCCAGAAATTAAAAGAATTTTAGTCGGAACAAACATCGGATCATTTTTATCCGGCATGTTATTTTTAGCAGGAGGTTTTTATCTACATAAAAGGTTATTGCGCTTGCGAAACCGGAAATTATTTGATGATCATGGACCAAATAATCAAGTAGTCTTTAAGTTCAGTTATTAATTTAGATATTATGATATAAAAACTCGTTAATAGTTGTATACAATTTCTATGACAGCTTTCATAACTCGGGCTTAATTTAGTTCAGTTATAAAATAAAAAACCAAGTGGTGTCAGCACTAAGTTGTTGGGCTGAAAATTTTATTCAAATTCCTGACTAGTGATCTATAACAAAAAAAGTTATTCTCCACCATTACTGCGTCTTCCTCGGATTTCGCAATTCCGGATTAAACATATTTATTTTATCATAGTATATATTGTTGTATATTAAATGAAAGTAAGATTAAGAATTTAATCTACCTGATGTCGACAGAGTTTTCCTTAGTAGTAATAAGTCTCAGTAGGAGCTCTTTCTAGACTTTCAACCTTTTGTGATTTCATACATATCAGATTGATCATGATACTGAATACGGTTAAAATTTTACCTATTGACGTGCCTTTGTTAGCCTAGTTTATAGTTTAATTCCAGCAAAGTGTACACGTGCGATTTAGTATTCTCGAATTAACAACGACTACGCAAGTAGTAAAAAATTTATGAGCATTTAAAGCTTTTACGAATTAGCTTGTAACGTGAGGCTATATTTTGCTTTTGCAAAATTTATATTTTTTTTTTAAAAAAAATGCTGCGGTATTTAAAACAAAGAGAACGAACTTGAATAATATAAAATTATTGTTTTTGGTGGTGTTTTAAAAATTCAATTTATTTACGGATTTGGAATTTATTGGTTAAACATAATTATCTACTACAAGATAAAATTTATAAATTTAATTCTTTTTATCTAACCGATTTCTAGCCAATAATCTGATATCATTTTATCATTTCTTTAGTTCACCTTTTTCTTCGGAAATATTTTTTTTTACCGCAGTATCGCAGTAAATCAAAAAAAAATTGCAAAAAGTAAAATTTATCATTTTTTAGTTGACTTTTTTCATTGTAACATCAAATATGAATTATTGCAATAATTGTTTGTATGAAAAATTGGTAAGCAAAAATTTTTTTTTTTCAGAAAATTTTATTTATTTTTTTTTTTAAGCGACATTTACTACCGTATTTACGAAATAGCAAAAAATTGGCATATCGTGATTGGGTAAAAGTAGTTGAGGGAGTAATTTAACCAAACATTATGCTAATTTATTGACCCGAAGATTTTTGTAAATATGTGATAACGGAAGAGTGAGGTAATCGACAAACTAATAATATTGAGAATGTGTGTTTAAAGCTTTGAATGCTTATACTTCAACCAGAGAAAAATGGTTTGAATAATCCGATTTATCGACTTTTATGAATTATAATTTTGGGTAAAATATATATAATTTATATTTATTTATTTATTGTTTTAGGAAGTAAAAGGCAATAATTGGTTTATTTAACCATTCTGGTTTTCTTTTTTTTTCGGGTTCGATTAATTTATTAAATAGGCTAACACGTTCCCATTTGCATCAATTTTCTTTTTCTTATTTCTTATTTTATTTTTTTTTTTGATTATTTGGTTTCACCACTACTATTACGGGTTGCGTTGCGTTGATAAAAGTATTTTCTCATTGATTCAATTTTAGTTTACTTCATATCCTTATTTATATTTTCTTATAAAGACTCCTCTTTCGGGTTCGGTTGTTTCCAATGTGTCCGCCGATTAATTAGTAACCGAATGCCATTTTCCCGAATCTTGGTTTCTAGGAAGTTATCATGAAAATTTTCAAAACTTGTTTAAAAAAGTTATATGGGAAAATGTCCGTTCGGGATATCAGTATTCGGATGATGTCCAATCGAGATATCAAGTATTTGGATATAAGTATTTGGATTCGGGAAATAGGAATTCGAGAATTCAATGATAGCATTCGGGATGTTTATGATTTCATGAAAGTGTCCAGTTCGGGAAACTCGAGATTGGAAAATTGGCTTTGGAAAATGTATATTCAAAAATTCGTGCGTTCAGAGGCTTGCCACTAGTATTGGATTTGACCGTTTCGCTTACAAACTGATAATTAGTACAAGCTATATGTAATAAAAAAAAAAATACAGGTGAAAAGGAAATCATAGTCTAAATATCTTGAAAAATCATAAAACTTTATTTACACAAAATTAACAAAGGTACCTTGCAATAAATTAATTTCATTTTTGCATGTGCGTCTTAACTCCAAAATTTACTCCTGTCTTCGATGGTAGGTCTCACGTTTCTGACATTTCGAACCTGACATTTACTCCCTTTCAATCATAAGTATTTGATCTAGAATCATATCCCTAATTAATTGATCCTTTACCAAAGAATTTAAATTTCGTTTTGATAGTTTTAAATTTTGTAATTGATCGTATCTTACTTCCTACTTATTTTGTTAAAGTGTGGAGTCAAATATTAGTTAACTCTAGTTTTTGATGAAAGTTTTAACTTGAAATAAACAGGTGAAAGTGATTATTCTGAAACCTAGCCGTATGCCAATGATCATAAAGATCGACATGGAACGGTTCGGTTTATCACCGCGGCAAAGCTAAGCTGACTAAAATTCTTTTTTATTGATTTGTTTTTACTAGCAATCCTACCCCGGGGTCGCTATCGCGACGAAAAAAAATGTAAAGTTTTAATAAATGTAAAATAAATAAATAAGATTAGGGTTAAT